ATATTTTGCCGCGTTCAACATTTCCGTCATCACTCCAAGGGATGCCATTGCATCTGTTTTCGTTTCAGTGCGAATCCGACGACGATGCACCAGTGAAGCCAGTACAGCATCGGTTTATGCAAACGCACAGCGACAGCGAAGACGAGAAGCGAAGGACAAACGACAGAAGGAGACCAGTAATTTACTCCCTCGAAGGCAGACCACAATCGAGGCTCCCTGAAGACACAAGTCGGTACGAACACTATAGTTCGACCGTCGTTGTCGACCATGTCCACCTTGTGCTCCACAGCAACTTGAGAGCAGGGGATGGTGACTTGAGCCCTGAATTTGTTTATAGTTATAGCAGACTTGCACAGCGTCTATTGCCCTCCCTCTCTTCCCCCTCCCTGCCTGGACCCCGTGTCAAGACAGAGCCAAGAATACTGGGGGCGTGGGGGGGGACGCAGGTGGATGACGCGGTTGGGCCCGCACCCTTGCGCCCCACTCCACACCCCTGCTCCACACAATAAATGACCAGCTTTTTGACCAAGTGCAAAAATGGAAAGGGGGAGCAGGGGCTTGAATGGGCGCGACGTATGTCGACATCTGGGTCTGCCACCGCATCTCCAAAGTGTTGGCATTTGTTTTGGTGTGCAACTCCGATAACGCCTGCCAGAATTCGCTGTGGTGCCCGTGTTGATCCAGCGCATCTACCGCGTGGTCCGTTTGGGGGGCATCGGTACGTGGACAATAATTCGTCTCTATCTCTTCACAAAATGTCCATCGAGTGGCCACAAATGTCGAGGCTCATTGACGAAGTCATATATTGAAAAATTAATGCAACTCCAACGCAGCAAAAAAACGAAGGGTCTGGTGTTGTTTTGGCGGACAGGGCCAACTACATTGCAAAAATACAGTTAATTGTTTAGGGACAGGAAAATTTCCGAAAGGCAGAAAATGAAAAGGATCAAACAGATGAGGTTGAAGCTCAGTTGATCGACTGTTCGAAAAGACTTCAAACGAATGGTTTCATAAGTGAACACGACCTACAGCGTCTCCGACCCCTGGGCGCGCAAACAGCTCGGTTATATGGCTTGCCAACTATCCGCAAGGAGGGCAGGTCGGTTCGTCCAATTTTAGACAAGAGGAAATCGCAATATTATACAATAGCAAAATGACTAGCGGAGAATTTGAAGCCCATACAGTACCGGCTAGCATTACATATCGATACGGACCTTCGCGATATTGTAGATTGTCCGCCCACAAAAGCCCAAATGCGGCCTTGAATTAGGCACTCACCTGTCGCATTTCACTATCAAGGCAAAAACGTCTGCATCGTTTGATTTCGAAGAGGACCTTGATGGCAGGAAGTATGCGCAGCTCCACGATGGCATGATTGCACGAGTCACAGACAATGGAGCTGTCTCGGAGGCATTCACAATGACCAACGGAGTGAACCAGGGCTGCATCCTCGCGCCCACCCTCTTCAGTTTTATGTTCTTTGCCATGCTGATGGACGCCTACCGTGATGAACGCCCTGGGATCCGTATCGCCTACAGGACGGACGCCCAACCCCTCAATCACTGGCGGATGCACTTCCAGTCGCGTGTATCCACAACTACCGTCCATGAACTTCTCTTCGCGGACGATTGTGCTCTCAACGCGACCACATAAAGGGGCATGGATCTCTTCGCCGCCGCCGCCTGCGACAACTTAGGCCTGTTCATCAACAAGAAGACGATGGTTATGCATCAACCGCCATCCGAGGCTGTCTACGTCACACCCCAACTCAACGTTGGTGGCGTCCAACTATAAGTCGTGGACAACTTCGCCTATTTGGGAAGCACACTGTCGCGCAACACAAACATCGAGGACGAGGTTGCCCGTCTGCTGTACAAAGCCAGCCAGCCAGTCTGTGAGATCAACTTAAACCACACACAATAAGTTCGTTTCGCCTAATGTCAGCAGTCAAGGAGCTGTGAGGAATAGTTTATTCTGTACACAGGGCAGGTTGTTGTAAGCTGGCTGTTTGCTTGAAACAGAGATAAGTCTCCGTTCACGGAGATCGTTGGTCGCGGTGTGTCGTTACGCGGGGGTGAAAGTCTGTGTCAGTAGGTGGGGGTGACTTGTTGAGTGCTGGTCGTGAGATTGGACGGATTAGGGGGGACGCATAATCACGGGTATCAAGTCAGAGCGTTCGACGCGCGTGAGGCGATGATAATGTGAGGGCAGTCGGGAGTCACTGCAGCTGGACAGGAGGGGCCTCAGTTCTTGCCGGCGGGGGTAGTGGGAGAGGGAGAGGGAGATCTAAAGCACAACGGAGGATGTGACTTCCCTGTTCACACCTTCTTTGTGATAATTGGCCACCCAACAGCCCATGACAGTTACTCCTGCCATCTACCCAACCGTTTCCACAGGCCTCCTCACTTCTGTTGTTTCTCGTTATCAGTACACCTACTACCTCCAATTAACATTCTGTTTTGCATACATAACATATAGTAGTTTGCCTTGGAGGCTGACAGAGAATAATCAGGCATGGAGATTACCAGGCGTCACACTACGCTAGACGGAGGACCTGCTTGCATAATCTGGTGTCGCCTAAACTGCAACCGTACTTCTGCCATCCTGTACCTCGGGCGTAATGACTCAACTGCTATTTGAATACCTTGGGGACTGTGCACACACTCTCAAGAAGATGGCAGCAGAGAGCAATTTGAACGACTGGTAGGATTGTAAACAGTCCTTTTTTTCTGCCCTTTCACCGTTTTCAGATTGACAGTCTCCTAAACCGTGCCTGCTCCCACCTTGCTGTGGAGCACATGGTGGACATCGTCGGATGCGTCGGTCGAACTGCCATAAGGGCAGGACCTCTCAGTCGGTGACTGAATGGTTACTCCTCCCTGAAGAATGGTTGTCAAGGCTACATGAAGGGCTGCGTCTCACCCTTGTGAGCTTTAGAGATTGTGTCGATTGGCGCTTCTTTTTACTTCCCCCCAAAGGAAACTAACTACACTCGGCTTGCATGACCGCGTTGGTCTCTTCCCGGCCCATCTGCTCTGATATCCAGTCATTACATAGATAGAGAGAGAGAGAAATTCGCTTTATTTTGAAATTATAAATTCAAAATGTTCAGCGAAAAATGGGCTTCATTCACTATGGACAGCAAACATGTTAATAGATTACTCAAGTGTCAACACGTTTAACACAAATGTACAATTATTATGGGGACAGTTCAAGTCTAAGCTTCTGTAATTCTGTCTCTTCGCACGTAGAATATGGCGCTAGGAATGGCAATACAGAACCTCGGTATGACAGGATAGCAATATAGAATAAGAGGTAGAATGTCGTCACCTATGAATCGCCAGATTAACGGTTGAGGTATATGGTGGGAACGTAAACGACGAATGCAATAAAGTGGTTTATGCACTTTAGTAAATAGGGATTAAATATGGAGGGAAAATGAAAGATGTGAGGACAAAGTAACGCCAAGGTGCCTGAAATAGTATAGCCACGTTGGGCAGGATGCCAAAGGAGTCGGGTCTAGGAGGGGGCCGCAGTCAGAAAATACACTTGACTGGTTTTTGGCCGTTCATTAGGAGACCATTTTCCTTCGACCATACGTGGACATGGTTTAGGCCATTCTTTAGCGACTGGAGGTGTGGCTGACTTTTGAGAGGGTGTCCAACAACCATATCATCAGCATACTTAACCAAAAGACAGTCGTTAGATGATCATAGATAATCGGTGTGGAGGGAGAAAAGGTGAGGGGATAGAATGGACCTTGAAGAACTCCACAGTCATCGGGAAGGACCGTAGATTCCAGCCTGCCAGATTGGCAGTATCAGTGTGTCAAGTATCAAGTGTATCAGTATCAGTGAAGAAATTGCGCGCGGGAAGTCGAATAATCGCTAAGCCAAGGGACGACCCGGTCTGGAGAGCCGCACGCGGATGTTTTGGTAAGGAGGAGAGGGTGCGGGACGGTAGTGAAAGCGGAGGAGTAGTCAAGGAAAGCACATGTGTACTCGCGATAACGCCTATCTAATTTTTTTTATGGCAGACTGGACCACAAGAACAGCAGCATCTAAAGTACTACGGTTGGCTTTATGTGCAAATTGTAGAGGATCGGAAAAACTGGAAGAGAATGGCTTGATTATATCTAGGGCAATTATTTCAGCAAACTATCCTGGTGCGGAAGAGCAGGCAACTGGACGAAAAGAGTGGGCGGGGTGTGCCTATTCCCGTGTCCCAACTCTCAAAAGTACACATCTGGTCTGAAATGAAGTGCCTATCGTCGACAGTGCCTTTGGCGTCAACCTCCCTGCATATCAGAAGGCATCTTGCTGGTCACTGATTAGCATGCGCACGAGTACGCCCTCATCACTGTTGGGGTAAAGAAGTTCTAGGAATTCAATGCTAACTTTGACGCCGCCAATTCCGATTAGCCTGAAATGCGCCCGCAGATGTATGGCCGAAAGGCGTCCTACATAACCAACATGCCTGGTCGCCAAAACACTTTATCCGATAGCTATTACATATATGTCTGCATATACGATATGCTTCAAAAGGGGAATATAATGGAGCATAAGGCGCATGCTTCAGACTGATTAGAAGCGATGGTCGATTTACTTGTGGAAGCGAATAAATGTGTTTTGTGCCGCAATAGTATTTGCCTGATAAGTCGAGCTCTTCCATTTCTAAGTAGAACTGTTCAACCTAGACACAAATGGGCATCTGTTTGGACCCAATCTCTTCTGAGTACTTTTCACTCAATCTGCTCGTCACTAGGTGCTTTCTTGTTGGAAGGAAACTTACGGTAGAAATGAACCCTGCGCCTGCCGTCTCTTCATCAACCTAAATACAATAGAGCACCAGAAATGAATATCAGCGTTCGCTAAAATTCATTAAGCCAATAAAAGGATTACTTCGCTCAGACTACAACCCCATGTTTGTGGAATGCGCGCGGCGCACGTGACTTGAGCCTGACTTGGCGACAGGCTCACGCGCCAAACGATGTTGTGTCACGTGCTGATCGATTGCCGGTGGACAAAGGTCATTCACAGACACACGCACGCACGCGCATGTGCACAATCGAGGGACTTGCGTCAGGGCCATCGGCCTCGATGACTGGTACTCGGCACGCTGAAACAATTTCTGCTCCTCCCTTCGCCTTGGTGCAAGTGTTTGTGCATATAGACAGACAGCTGCTCCTCGTAGGCACCAAATATTTGATCTACGTGGCCATCCCTGTGGCCAATCGGAAAGGATGAGAAGAAGGTGAGTCGTTGTTGTTATCGACCTTGAACGAAGTCCTCCCATGTCTGCGGGTGGACTTCCAGGCACATCAGAAGGACGCCTGATTTTTGCGGATAAAGGGAGTAGTGAACACCATCAGGCCTATTCCATTCAGGAGTTGGCCAAGCAAAACTGTCTTGCCAAAGCAAATGTTCTCCGACTAACCTTATGTCGCAGTTCTGGGGATACTTGGTCCGGGGTCTTTTCCACTGTCACAGTGCAAGAGATGAGTGTTCTGGCAAAGACTGAAGGAAGAATACAATATGCTGTTTGATGCGCGAGTCCTTCGAATGCATGGTGTCGAAGAACGCTCTGCTACTCATTAGCGCACAGGCACCAAATGTTGGACCTCTTGCCAAAGCAAAGCAAAGCTCTGCCTGATATCCAGGTTATGCATGACAACACGGCTTACTGGTCTCCTTTCTGCCCCGACACCGCACGGAGTGTTTTATTCCACATCATGCTTATCCAACTAGCCTACCCAATTCTTAGGATGTACAAACTGGCTACGTATAGTGGACGCTACTCTGCTCATCATCGCCATCATCGAAATAAAATGTTATTGCCGTGTGGAAACGATATCCAGCTCTCCCACTTGCCGGCCCATTCGCTGTGGAAGCCAGTCACTAGAGTGAGAGAGAGAGAGAGGTACACAGGAATTGAGAAAAATTAAAAGTGTGCCCCTGATGATGCCGGTAAGTCGGCTGTCCGCATATTGATTGTGTGCTTTGGAGTCCAAAAGGCGCTGTTTAAACACCCAAAGAGACAACAAGCCTCTTTAGCACATCGCCACCCTTACTTCCAAAGCGTTCACTCTGACAGCCCTGGTCGTCCTTACACTTGGACGCATCGTCATCGCAGCAAAATGAGGGTCGCAACGACAGTCTGCAAAATCGTTGGCCACAGGACGGTCGTCGTCAATCCAGCGAGACACGTTCACATACACTCAGGCAGCACAGCGGCATCAGCAGTAACATACGACCTCTGGAACGCTTTATTGCCCCACGAAATTATACCTACAAACATGCAGTCTCTATTCCGCCATGCACGTGATGAAATAGGCAGTTCTAGTAGTTGGTGCGCGCATGTTCGCATGAGGAGGATCACGGGAAGTGTTCAAAGCTCTCCACATGAACCAATGGGGTATCGGGTACG